TGGTATCTTTAAAACTGAACTAAACACTAATTTAAGAAAAGTGAGATCAAGGTCAAATGAAAGGTCAAGGTCAAAAAATGTTGATGCAGTTGAATAGCTTACATCAGTATGTATCAACATAAGAAGTTTAATTACACTCTCTTGAATAGTATCTTTAAAACTGAGCTAAATACTTATTTAAGAAAAGTGAGGTCAAGGTCAAATGAAAGGCCAAGGTCAAAAAATAGATAGTTTCTTTGAAACTGAGCTTTGAACAGAGCTAAACGCAAAGCGTGACGGAAAATCAGACAGAGATGAAAGGATGGAAGACGGACATGACAAACACTATTTGCAGTTATGCACCAGCCATTTTCATGGCAGGGCATAAAAACAATGTAAAAAATTTTGTTTGCATGCACCCTTTCTCAATACCACCTCTCCATGTTCCAAGATTGAAGTTTTAATGTCAAAAGGTTCTTAAGTTATGGTTTAGAGGTGTTTTTCTCAATTTGACCTTGAATGAAGAAAGGAGTTAAGGTAAAAATTTTAGTGCAGTGCTTCTTTTGTAAATGTCTTTTTTCTATGTTACAAATTTGAAATACTAATATCAAAGGGTTCTCAGGTTATATCCTGGACTATATTTTTATGTAAAGATTGACCTTGACCTTATCGAAAGGTCAAGGTAAAAATGTTTGGTGGCCTCAACCCCAATTCCATACCACCTCTCCATGTTTCAAGTTTGAAGTCTTAATGTCATAGGGTTGTCAAGTTAAGGGTCGGACAAAATTTGATTGAAGAAGAAAACTGACAAAAACAATATATGTAGACTAGTATAGTCTACTTGTTGCTTCAAACCTGTAGGAAGAGTAGTTTTGAAAGAATAAATTTGTTTCTACATTATGTAATGAAACTTTACATAAGATTCAACTTACTTGCCTAGTAGTTCTTGAGAAAGAATTTTTTTCTTATACAGTAAAGCATGCTTATAGCGAAACAAACCTATAATGAATTGACACTTACAGCAAAGCGATTTTCATTCCCCGTGACTTTAAAATATATTGTAAACTTAATGGATATAAGCAATTACACTTATAACAAAGCAAAATCGTCCATCCCAGGCACTTTGTTATAAGCATGTTTTACTGTACATTCACATGTTTACAAAATTTTAATCCCCTATTGTGGCCGCACCCTACCCCTGAAGGTCATAGTTTGGACAAAGTTGAATCTACACTAAGTAATGAAGTTTCACATAATTTTAAACTTTTCTGGCCCAGTGGTTCTTCAGAAGAAGATTTTTGAAATACCATTAAATTTTCACTCATTCCTATCTCCCCTTAAAAGAAGGCTTGGCCCTTCATTTGAACAATTATTTTACACAAGAAAGAACATTTTGCATGAGAAAAAAACTCTCTGTGTTTCTAAATATTTCATCACACCTCTAGTGTGTTTCTTCCTCTTTTAACTAAGATAATGATGATTTAATTATGACTTCAATTTTGTACAGGCCTTTGTATGATAATTCTACCCTGAGGGGTATGTTTACCTGTCTTCAACAAGTCAGGTGATTGTTCACAGTGAGTACTTTCCAAGCATAATTGATCGAGTTCATTTCTGCCTACCGAAAACACTGATCTTGGGCAAATTAATAGGAGTTCCAATTGAAATTTGTAAGAAACCACGTTAAAAGACTTCTGGCTGTGTCCTTTTGTAATTATAGATATAGATCATAGACAAGATAGCGAGTAAACTTATTTTTTTCTGGGAGGGATAACATTCTTGCTGCAGTATGAATTAGTGTAAAATCCTAAAAAAGTCATAAATCAAAAAAATTGTCTTATAATTCCATTTTAATTTTGACTCAAGTAGCTGTCAGAGAGAGAGAGAGAGAGAGAGAGAGAGAGAGAGAGAGAGAGAGAGAGAGAGAGAGATTACTCCAGGTATATAGCCCCATGCAAAATATATATATCTGTGATAGCAAATTCTCAGGAGACAATTTTTGAAAAGCAATTTTACTTCATGCATTGTTTTCAGAAAACTCAAAGTTGAAAATTTAAAATTGATATCTATGTCAACATAGTGCAACTTTTATCTATAGTGATAAAAGTGTACATTAAAAAAGTATGATTAAATAGCTAAATCAAAGTGTTTTGAATAGCAAAACCAAGCTATGCCAGTTTAGCTAATTCAACTACAGAGTTTAATCAATTTTAGGAGATTGTACAAGACCTGTTTTTATTCTTAATCATTCTAAAAATATTTATATAACCATTCCTGATTCAAGGGAGAGCTAGGCGTATGACCAAAAAAGTCCATGATCTATTGATTTAATAAAGACACATGTATGTTGTGGGAAGATCAGTAAATAATGATGACAAGTGGGAAACGACCAGGTTAATATTCACAAATTTTAGGAGTTTTCAACATTTAAGACCATGCAGACATAACTCTTTTCCCTTTTTCCCCATTCCCAGCCCCAGGCTTGTTTATATATACAAATTATTTATAACTTGTTTTGGTATAAAATAAATTGTGAATAATACAAAAATGTACATGTACACAAAGTATAATGACGGGTCTCTGAATGCTTTTCATTTTCTAATTCTAAGAGGGTGGACTGCCCTTAGGGGGTCCTGAATAAAATGTCAAGCAGATTATCACTAACACACTTTTGACGCAGGTCATATTTCTATTTTCTAATTCTAGGAGGGTGGACTGACCCTAGGGGGTCCTGAATAAAATGTCAAGCAGATTATCACTAACACACTTTTGACGCAGGTCATATTGTGATCATTAATTTCCATTTTCAGGATGAGGATGACTTCAAGGGGTCATAACCTTTATACCATTTAATGCATAATGACTTGAGGGACAATATCATATATATGGTTAAGGGGAGAGTTTTCAACCATTTTCAAGATATAATGTATATGAACATTTGAAGTTTTAGGGGTTGGGAATGACCTCTGGGGGGTCATGACCCCATACATCCTATTTAGTGTGTTATAATACAAAGATGACTTAGGGACTTTTGCTCTAATGACAGCTATTTCATTGTTTCCTGTTCCAAAGACCGAGTGGAATGACCCCAGCAACTTGCCTCATTATATAATTTGTATGATTGTGGAATTCCAATGATCTTTGACCCTTTTCTACCTATAGGCCCCTAACCATTTTCATTTCCGATTATTTTACCCCGTTCTAGTCGCCCGTGTGGCGCAGTGGTTAGAACGTCTGCTCTAGAGTCGTGGAGTAAGGAGTTGATCCTTAAGTCGCGGGTTCGAATCCACTGCGGGACGTAGAGACCAGTTCTTCGGATGAGACTGTATAAACCAAGGTTCCTTGTTGCAGTAGTTGTTGGCACATAAAAAGATCCCTCACTGCTCAATGGCCCTAAGTGTCGACTATAGATTAAAATTTGCAGCCCTCCACCGGCAATTGATGGCGTCTCCATATGAGTGAAAAATTCTCGAGAAGGACGTTAAACAACAAACAAACCCCGTTCTATATTAAACGTTTAAAATAATACATTCATAATACACTTACCGCCTGTTATAGGTACTGTTAACTTGATAGAATAATAAATCCATTTAAAACACACACTAAATATTAATAATCCCAGTGGTAATAATGATGTACATACATGTACACCATGTGCAAAACAATAATGATAAGGGTAAAATAGTGCTCGCAGTGTGACGTAATTCCATGCACGAGTCTAGAAATTTTCCAAAAAGGTGTACATTTGTAAAATTTATATTATAATTACATGCAATTTTTTTTCATAAGTTTATCTTATCTATTCTAAATATGACAGGAAAACGGGTGAATCATGGGTGGAGATTGATTTTTGACAAAGTTGATTGGGTCAAGATTTGGAAAGGGGTTCTCCCAGTCCTACCCAAATAGTGATAAAAATTTGCACAAGTTGTTATTTTGGCATCTAATTTTTTTTAAGTTCATCAAAAAAAGCTATGCACTAAAATAATAATATTTGTTGTTTTAACAATAAATTCAAGAAGTTCCAATTATGGGTAGAAAATTAACCAACCCCCTTTTTTTACACAAATCTTTCAAAAATTCTCTCTTTATCAGAATTTACATTATAAGCTAGGTAATATCAAACTGGTAATGAAATATTAAATATTTACATACGCGGATCTAGAGGGGGCGGGGTCCGGAACCTATATACGAAATCTATATACGAAAGCAACTAAAAGTGACCTTGGACACCCCCCCCCCCCCTTAGAAAACACGGACTCCTGTTAAGTTGGTACGAAAAGTTATACATATGAAGCTTAAAAAGTGAGCAGCCAAACCCCCCTCTTCCCCCCCCCCCCCCCCTCACCAACACCACCACCATGAAATAGGTTTTCACATTTGGGAGAGGAGTTTGAGTTTTTTTTTTTTTTTTTTTTTTTTGCTTGTCAAGATATTTCTGGGTTGGACCCCCCTGGAAAAATTCCAACAGGAAAACCCGAAAATCACATAGATATTGTTACCGAGAAACTCAGGCATCTTTTTAATATCAACAACGAGGTTCTACTGTGTAGATCAAAAGGTTTTTAACAGAACAAGTATGCAGATGACCAACGACAAGGTATATAAATTTATGAGTTCCGTTTTTTTATTAAAGAAAAGAAGTTAACGTAAAACAAACTAAGAGAAGGAGAAAACCATGATATTGACCCAAGGACAGATGTAGAAGGTTTCGGTTACTGAGTAAATAGGATACTAGTAGTAAACGGCTTCAAGGTCAAATTAGCGAATGGTTTTAACCTGGGCAAGTTGTTGCTAATGACCTAAAGGGGTATCTTGACCTTATTTTAGAGTCATTTCTCAAAAATGAATGTCTTTATGTAATGCTAAAATAATTTCGAAATTGTGGCATGAAGCAGTGTCTGTTGAGAAATAAAATAGCAACAAAACATTGGAACAAAATCTCAGGTGTTTTTCATTTAATATTGTAACAATTTTTTTATATGATTATATATTTAAAAACTAAACATATATTAGGCATTTCTCTTTAAGTCACAAAAGTATATTATATCGAATGCAACATTAGATGGGTGCTCAGAAGATAGATATCTTCAATGCTTTTTATGTTTTTCTTTCAATCTTCATTTTTGTGGGAATAAAATGTGAATCCTTCATAGGTCCTCAAGTGTACATGTAATCTGGGATCGGTCGCATGTTGTCCACCAAACAGGTTTTGCAAATCAACTCCTTTTACTTTTTCTTTGGATTTAGGCTGACTGGTACTGAAATGATTAATATTAAATATTCAGTCAGTAAGTATGTTATGAAAAAAAAAATAAAACAATAAAAAAAACAACACGGATAATATATATACATAACACTTGGATAATAACTGGTCACCTACCGATAAGTATAAATGGATTTATTTTGGACAAAGTTTCAAGCTTTAAGAGAATAAATAGAGTAAATGATGTTATATTAGTCGAAATTTGGAGGGAAACAATTTAAAAAAAGGGAGAGGCTCATAACTCAGCAATAACCACAACGTAGTAAAATTTGAATGCATCATTAGGTATGTAATTCAGTACATGCAAGCTTGTTTTGACAATGAAATGTTCAATATGTTAGAAATTATCTAGATATGTATGCTTAGGTAAACTTTCAAATTTATATACACTGAAAGATTAGAACAAACTTAACATAGAAATTAAGCAATATAAATTAAGCATTTGTTCAAACTTGAACATTTCTGCATACGTTTTAAAGAGGAATATTTCAGCATGTTAAATGTTTATATGTTTTAAGTATATTTCAAACATATTGAACAGATATAACAAAAATAAAACCCATATTGCTCGTTTTAATTCTCACCAATATTTCCCCTTGAATCGGTTTATAGATATATAGACAACTTTTAAAAAAAATAATCAAGAAAATGTAGAAAATAGTTATCAATGTTATTTACCTGTTTCTTGAAAGAATGAATACTAATATGGTGATTATTATAAGCGAAAGTACCACACCTCCACCAATAAACGGACCCTTGAATTTATCCAGTGATTGTAAAACGCTATCTGAAGTCGTTGTCAAAGTGGGTTTTGTAGTTGATAATGTTTGGCTGTGTTCTGATGTTGGTAATATCGATGTTTGGCTTTGTTCTGATGTTGGTAATATCGATGTTTGGCTTTCTTCTGATGTTGGCAATATCGATGTTTGGCTTTCTTCTGATGTTGGCAGTATAAATTCTGTTGTGGTATCATCCATCACAATTGACGTCTCTTTGTGATCTGCTGATCATGTCATTGTCATGAAAGATTCTCTCGATTATTTTAAGGTATGTCACTCGTCAGCTTTTAAGAAAAGTTCAGTCAGGACCTCTAACTTCAAAACTATTTATTACAACTCAATTTTTAAAGCACATTTGAATTAAACAATGCAAATTATACAACATCCATTTTAAAAACTGATCACAAATTCATAAAGAAACAAGATTTATGAGGGACTATTTCTTGTGGCGTAAGGATATTTAGGAAAAAATTCTTCAAATCTACGGTACTCATTTGTTGAATTTAATATCTTGGAATTTTAACCCCATATATTTTTACTCAGAGAATATTTTCCGTTATTATATGCTATGAATATTAAATATAGGTTTCAATTTATATTTTTAGAACAATTTTTACACATTAACTCAACAGACTTTGCCAAGAAATGAAGGTATATTAAAGAAGTCAAGATAAAATTTACACTGCCTTTTGACTGAAAATTGCATATTTTTACCAAAATCTCAAAATTAACATCACTGACCCCAACTTTTTCTTTCATTATTTTAAACTACACGATATCCCCAACCGATCAGCACTAAAGTCATAAAAAGTTTGATACAAGAAAATATTTTATTGCCTACTTAGATTTTTTATACCCAAAATATGATATTTTTAAGTGCAAAAAGGTCACACAATATTTTGCATGATTTTGTTCAATGATAAATATTATTCAAAGTATTTTACGTAAAATAAGATTATATTTATTGCCATGATTACATCTGATAAAATATTATAAAGATTAAAGTGATTAACCTAAGAGTTACAATTCAAGTGCAAAAAGGTCAAGTTTATTGTTGTTCAGTAAGATGATCACTGACCCCCAATGTTCTTTGCAATTTTGAGTCATGCTATATGAGTACTTATCTAAAATATACTTTTCAAAAAATCCTTGATATAACTTATTTCACGAGTGACATACCTTAAGATATTCGTTGTATAAATATCATGTTAAAAATAGAATATCGATTAACATATATGCATTCAAAGTGGAATTAGAAAATTATTCAAATCGAAATCACAATATAAAAGTATATCTATGTAGTCTACTATAAGACATGTTCTGTTGATACTTAAAAATCAATTTAGTTGGGATTGACTTGCACATCTGAACAGAAGCATGTAATGAATAAACATTTGTAAAGAGAAAAGTAAGGTGTACATAACAGTATCAAAAATTAAAGTGCCTTTTGGGTTCTCTTAACAAAGTTTACAATGTGTGTATAGTATCTAATCACATACATGTACACTGTACAATTGTATATTCTCACATAAAACTTTGATTCCCTATTTAATCACACCATACCCCCCCCCCAGGAAAGGGGAGGGGCATGATCTAAACAATTTAGAATCTACACTACCCCAGGAAGCTTTCACATAAGTTTCATATTTTCTGATCCAGTGGGTCTTGAGATTAATTCAAAGATTTTCTTCAATTCCTTTCTTACCATCTATTATATATATATATATGGGTTTTTTTTTAGTAAAAGGTGGATGGTAGAGCATCATTTTTATATAGGAAGTCATGAGATGATGGTACTTAATTAGAATCATTCAGAGACTTAAGACCTGAAGGTTGTAACAATTTAGTATCAAACAGTAAATTAAGACCTTCAGAAAGTTAAATAATGTAATAATTTAGTCCAATCAGTTACTTAAGACCTCTAGGAAGTCAAAAGATGTAATAATTATGTGTCAGTAAGTAACTAAAGACCTCTTGGAAGTCGATGTTGTAATTATTTAGTATTAGTAAGTGACTAAAGACCTCTAGAAAGTCAGATGATGTAATAATGTTGTATTAGTACTGACTAAAGACCTCTAGAAAGTCAGATGTTGTATAATAATTTAGTATTAGTAAGTTACTAAAGACCTCTAGAAAATCAAATGATCCTCTAGGAAGTCAGATGATGAAATAATTTAGCATCAGTTAGTGACTAAAGACCTCTAGAAAGTCAGATGATGTAATAATTTAGTATTAGTAACTGACTAAAGACCTCTAGAAAGTCAGATGTTGTAATAATTTAGTATTTGTAAGGACTAAAGACCTCTAGAAAATCAAATGATCCTCTAGGAAGTCAGATGAAAATAATTTAGCATCAGTTAGTGACTAAAGACCACTAGGGCGTCAGATGATGAAAAAGTTTAGTACCCATTAGTGACTTAGACGTCTAGAAAGTCAGATGATGTAATGATTTAGTATCAATTAGTGACTACAGACCTACCCACAGGTGCCACATATGCCAAGAATCCTTTTTTGTTCTCCCTGTCGTCACTGGTAAATCTGATCGTCAAGTAGGTATCAGAGGAAGTATATGTGTCTGTGGGAATGGTATCACCACACACTTTAGCAATCAATGGTGAACTGGTAGAACTTCCTGATATCATGGAAAAAGGAATTCATAATTAGATAGACTGCTTACTTTCATTTCTACTAAAGGAGGGTTGATTCAAAGATAATGAATGAATGAACAGTTTATAAATTGCTAAATTTTGATATAAAAAGATCCTGTAGTTCCTTTTTGAAATATCTATGTAGTTTCGGAGACAGGCAATCTGTTGGAATATATAGTATGGCTACTAATTGTGCTCATTTATAAGCCAACCCGTTTCTATATTCATATGAAACAGAATTTATTCAAAATCTTCTACTCGGAAGGCGTAAATTCTTGCTCTTCAACTCGATATTTAGATTTAACAACAACGTTTTATGAATTAAGGATAATTACTTTCATTCATATTTCTACTCGATATATCCCAGTGAACTCGACATAAAAGACACCACAGAGCCTTCTTTATATGTTTCATACATGTATTTTAATATTTTTGTTTCATACATGTATTTTAATATTTTACTGACAATACAGGATAAGGGCCAACTACATGTAATAACTAAACTGTATAAAAATGAGTTGACTTCAGCTTTTCAATCGTCAACTTTCCTTATTAATGCAGAAATATTTAGTTCTCACCTGTATATGCTGTTTATGTCTCATATCTTATTCGATAATCAAAAGCATGATCTGAGTACAATTAATTTTAAACCAAGAGGCTACTGACGAATAATTTGATGCTACAGGGATTTCAAACTCGTTTAACCTAAGAATTTTATAAATTCTATGGTCATTAAGCTGACCTTCTTAGCAAATACAACCTATCATTGAGTCATATTTTAAATGACAAACATGTAATATATTCCAATTGTTCGGCCATTGCTTTTATACAAAATTATACTGCGGATTACTCCGCGGATCTGATCAATATCTAGGGTGTGATTAGTCGACAGGGGGTGCTTACTCTTCCTAGGACCACTTCTGGAATTTCCAGAGATCATTGTCAGGAAATGTCTGAAACAATTAGTCTACTTGTTAAATTTTTTTGTTTAAGTAGACTGGACAGTGCTCAGTAAGCTTTGATGTCATGTAGAAAACAAAACTGATTAATTTTAGCTGTTAAAGACAAGATGCCTGTTAACCCTCTATCATAACAATAAATAGTACAAAAACAAAACACACAATAAAAGAAATAATGCAACCCCCCCCCCCCCCGTGTGCTCCGTGTCATGATCGAGCGAACGGAAAAATCCGTAGGTAATTCAGGGTGAAAATATTGGCCTTACCATTTGTATGGAAAACGTCAGTCAACATTCGACTTCACGATAGATTGTATTTGGTAACAAGGTCATTGTATCGAGCATAGAATTTGCAAAATATTGACTTTAAGCCAGATTATATCTATTTTTAAAACATGCAATTATAATTTTTTTGTATACCACTCTCCTAGCTTTCATCTGTTCATATGGGAAACGAAACCTAAATGTTTTCCATTGACTGGACTGCAACTTATAGTCTGGACCATAGTAAAAAAATCACTTTTTGTCAGTAGTGATAACCCACTCAAGAAACTCATCACGACTTTCCCAATATCTAACGAGAATCTTTGCCAATTTATTACATTTTAAAAGGTGAAATACTAGAATTTATGTATTACAAAAGTGATACTTTTTCACAGTGTGAGAAAGAATCCTTGTGATATTTTGTCACAGAATATCAAAAGTGCGGCAAAACTCCGGATTCTCCTTCCCTTCTCGAAGAGTGTTGTACAAAAGACTCCTGGTCTATTATAAGAGAGAGTATATTAAGAATCCTGACAGAGACTAAAACTGCCGAAGTTTCTCCAAATATTAAGTTGTTGAAATCAATGTTTATAAAGTTTTCAATCTCACAATCGCTAAGCTATGAAGTCTCAACAGATAAACTATGATGTTACAGACTATGATACTATATTAAGAAGAGAATATCATAGAAAATGTAATAAACAGAAAACGCAATGTTTTGGTAGTTGAATATGAAATTTATTTCACTTTACTTACAGGACTTCGCACTCGTGAAAATGTCAAAACATCATGTCCCACTAGTGAAGTAAATTCCATACCCAACTGCAGAACGTTGAATATCCTCTATATCTCACATTAGCACACACTGGTCTCTCTTACGTCTTGGTATCCATTTGGCATTCAACTTTTCAATTTTCTATTCAATTTTATTTTTAGTATTTTGCAATATGTTTAATAGACGTAATTATACGTCCACAATCTTGAAGAATAATTAATTCGACTCCAAATAAACAACCTGCTTGAAAAAAATTACACGACAGTCTTTTAAATCAACCCCAGTATATTATAGAATATTTGCTTCATATAGATTAAATACTAATGTGTGACAACATTGGTACAATTTAATGCTCTAGAGATATCCAAACAATTATCTTCCTACAAGTAGATATACAACTTCCAACTAGCAAGAATAAATATTATGTGAACATACCGATATTTTATAGATAAAGTCAATTTTTATTTTTAGCTAAAAAATCATCTTAACATGTTAAAAATATTTCTGAGTTTTAAAAACATAATGAAACTATGATCATGATTTAGCATCGTTAAAAATAACTCAAGTACTTTCTGCCATTCGTAGAAATATTTTTGCTTCATCTGATTTTTGTTTTGTTATTCTTAGATTGACTGATATTTTTTTTTTTAATCTTCATGCAAAAGTCTTGTATAAATTGTTACCGTTAAAAATTTCTATGAAGTCGTAGCAAACACCATTTACTTTCTCTACACGAAGATAAATGAACTCTAACTTGACGTATCCACCAGTATAGGTGTATGTATAAGTGCAATTGTGATTCCTGAAAAAAAAAACATACATGTATAGGAAAAAGATCAGATATAGGGCAGAAAGAGGGAATATATAATTTTACCTCTTCAAAACAAGAACGTAAACAGTGGTGAGGAATTATTAAACTCCTTAATGTGACTATACCAAGACTGCCTCATAGCGTAGTAATATATAAGAACTGGAGTGGGCACAAGGACCACTCCAGAGAAAGATTAATTTCAACATGATGTAACTATTTTTGAAGAGCAAAAATAAGAATTTATATGATAATAATAAAGACAAAACTGCTTACACTATCCCACATTATACTCTGACTCCCTATACTCCAAATCATACAACCTGCTTTTCAAGATTTTGCTTATTATCTCTTCTTTGAAAAGGTTAATTAAAAAAAAGCATTACATACAGAATTGTAATAAAACGTCAAGCAACATATTATTTTAACATTTTTTGTTTCAAACATTTATTTATCTTACAAATGATATACATGTAAGTGGAGATCTAATCATGTAACATTTATTCATATTTATAATAGTATGTTTTTTTCATATCTTATATTTCATTCTTGTAGCAAACTTTCAAAACAAACTAGGAAACTAGACGGATGAAGATCGAGAAGGATTAAACTTCAAATATCTAGTGAAAGTGCTGCATGTTGCAAAACATCAAATGAAGAAAAATACTTCAAAACATTAATAATGAAATATTTTAACACTAAAGAACCCCAAATGTTTCATTATACTCACAGTGGATAGCTCGCGGGAAAATTCGCAGAGGTCAATGTCATTTGTTCTGTGAGTGCAATGTTGTGAACTGCTCCCGAGATTGAACAATTTGCTGGAAAATGTAAAATTCTTAAAAATACATCAAAGAATAACCTTGTATTCAATAACTGAATTATCAATACCAATTTGCTTTGTGAATGTTGTGGGTCCTTCGGGTGAGACCTTAAACACCGAGGTCCAGTGTCATGGTAGGCGTTGGCACAATAAAGAACCCTCACTGCTCAATGGCCTTAGTGCCGAGTACAGGTCTAAATGTGAAGCCCTTCAACAGTATATGGTGACGTCTCTATATGAGTGAAATATTCTCGAACGGGAAGCAAAACAACATACAATCAATCAATCAATCTTTATGAATATTTGCGCAAACACAATTCTGAACTAAAAATTCCCTTACATTCATCCTTTCCCACTACTACGGTAAACGTAAACCCAGTTTCATACGAGTTATCTGTTCTGTCTGACAGAAAATCCACAAAGAGGCTATTTCCGGTCGTCGTTTCCGGTGGTTTGGTGGATCCGCAAGAGGACAGGGAGGAGCAACAAACTGAGGTACCAAAGGTGGCGGCACTGGTAGATGAGCCTATAGTTATTAAAAAAAACATGTATAGAAATATATTTATAAAAAATATTTCATTTATATTAAGAAAAAGATTTTTCAAAATGTTCTCATCAGATAATTCAATGACATTTTTTTTTTTTTTTTGGTTTAAAAATTTAAATGCATTTTTGATTCAATCCGACCCTCATAAAGGAGACTTTTATCTACCGTGTTGGCTAGAAAATATTGGTAAAAAAATAATTTTTTTCAACAGCCCTATGTATTTTTCATATTTTTCTTAATTGTAGAGAATGTCAAACCATTTCTGTCTTACTGGATTCTTTTCTGCTACAAAATACTTCAATGATAAATCAGACTAAAAGAGAGAGTTTATTAATGAATAAGTCTCATGCTTGGTTAGTTAGATACTTTGAATCATTGTAAATCAAAAGTAAGTATAGTGAGGTAGAAATATTTACTTGTGAATGATAGAAATATTTACTTGTGAATGTTGAGCATTTTAATGAGATAGATACAATTATAGACAATCCCTGTAGATGTAAAACACGAGTAATCCAGAAGATCGAAATATAAAGAGGTTTGCGTATTGTATAATATTGAAAAAAACTAACCATCATAAAACTTCAGAGTATCTCCACAATCGACATAAATGCTGGTTACTTCAAATATCAGTCTTGCTTCTGCGTCAGATATGTTAAATAACCATTTACAACCTGTAATGCTGGTAATGATTGAAAGAAAACTGTAGAAGTGGAATACTTCGTGATGGTTTTAATTTCACTATGTTCACGATTAAAGAATTTTCCGCAAACATTAAGCCACCGTGAATATTTTCGACATATCAATGTAGTATTCATATATGAAATATATGTACTTTCCATACCTTAAAAAATATTATTTAAAATATACGTACAAGAATTAACCATTGATAATCATTTGAAAACGCCAGTATAATAACAATGGCCGTTTAAAATTAGTTTCTTTAAATAAAATAATATAGCTCATCATAACTGTCTTTGTTTTAGGGAATATTTTTTTTTAAAAAGATAAATATCTAATAACGAAAAAATTAAGTGTTCGCAAAACTAAAACCACTGGAAATGTTCCAGATAAGAAAATCCTGAAATATTGAACATGTGATATTAAAGACGTTTATAGCATATTTTGTTTATCACATTATTATTGATTCATTTGAGGCCCTATAGTATACTTATATAATGCTGTATGAAATATATGGAGATAACGAACAGTATTTAAGCTCAAAAGTCCATTAAACAATACAAAATAGGAGCAGAGAAAACACGGACCTCCAAAACATCAGAGGTGGGATCAGGTGCCATGGAGGAGTGAGCATCCCCTGCCGACCGGTCACACCCGCCGTGTGCTCCTTGTAATGATCGGGAAATAACGGAAAAATCCGTCGACAATTCAGTGTGTAAATAATGGTCTAACAATAAGTATGAAAAGTATCAGTCAGCATTTGACTCAATGATAAATTGTATTTGCTGGCAAGGTCATTGTATCGACCATAGAACTTACGAACTGATGACTTTAAACGTATATATTTGGTCATTAAAGTATATTTACTCGTATATTTACATAAATACACATGGAGGTTGAGTTCTTTTGACCCTCTAATAAAAGAGACACCGCTCCTTGGGATAAAAAAACTATTTCAATTCCGCTTTAGAAATGTGAAGTAAAAAGGCCATTTTTGTCAAATTTTGTCCCTCAGTGCATGCTGAAATTCTATGTATTTTAATTACCAAATATTTTTCTTTTCGAAATTTATATGGGGCTTTTGAAACGAAATTTTATATAAGTGACCGGCCGGAGGAGTGTTGAACCTTAATTTATTACAAAGGACTTGGGCGAACAAAGTGTATGAATGTTACGGGATTCAAGTGTTTAAAAAGCAAATGAAATAAGTATTTAGAGCACATTAATTAATATTTAAAGGCATGGAAATTATGACATCAAAAATTTCAGCGGAAAATTCTTTCTGCAAATATTCTATGGTTAAAAAAATGCAGTTTTCTTCGGTTTTGAATCCGGGCGTTAAAAATGTTGAATTATATCAGTTTTTTCTTCTTCGAAACAGTAGACCACAAAAATCATAACAGGTTGTTTCATTTGCATCTTTTTGATATGACCTATGAATAAGTTTGTTTAAATATTTCTCGGAAAACATTTTATCACTAAGGTACCACCATACGAGGCTGACTGCATTTGTAGAAATTTAATATAAGTATACATTAATGCTTATTTATTAAAATATGCCAGAAAGTTTTTCTAATGAATGATTATTTTTTTTTTATTTTTCTACTTTCCTTATACTTATAGGAATACTACACTGTATATGTCAGTTATTCCATACGCAAGAGCATGTTCTGAGTACGATCAATTTTAAGCTAAGGCAGGCTACATGTACTGAAAAAATATGTTGATGTTACATGGATTTCAACCACCTCATTTAAAGTCACTATTCCGATAATTCTATGGTCGTTATGATGTCCTTGTTTGCAAATACAACTAATCATTTGATCGTAGGCACCTGATCCCACCTCTGAAATTCCAGAGTTTTGGACCCTGTTAAAAAATCTGTATTGTTTAAAAGATAAGACCCAATGGTACTTTGTATTTCATGTTCAATACTAATTGCTAGGCCATTGTTCTTAATGTACGAAATTTGACTACATATTATTCCGTCTACTTGATAAATAAACATAGCTCATGACTGGTGTGATAGGTCACCAGGGGAATCTTACCCCTCCTAGGCTTGACACCACCTCTGAAAATTCAAGGGTGAAAGGGTTCCATGTTTTATTGCTTGCTCACAAATTTTATTATTTATTTAAAAGATTTTGGAGATGGAAAGCCATTCGTTATCTTCATCATTTTTATTTTATTTAGACGAGCCATGGGCATTTTTCTTCTCTTATTTGGCCATCTTCTTCAATGTACAAAAGATAAACACTTTAATCCCCCCTCCCATTTTTAACTTACATGTACTTCTCATAGAGAAATTTAATAAATATGTTTAAATCCAATTTGTTATTTAGATATAATTCAGTTGTCTTTTTTACTTACGTTGGATACTTGCTGGATGCAGGATACTTGAAAGTTTCTATCGACTGGTTTAATGTGATGGAATTTACTGATGAGCCACATGATAGTGACGTCACTGGAAGCAAAATTTAGGTAGTTCAAATACATGTACATACTATTCCTGATATACTTATAAATAGATTACCAAGGCAGCCATATTATATAGAAACACTTTTATTTTGAAACGACAATTGCGGCTACTTAACCGAAATATTTTGATATTGATTATATTTGTCAAGCCTGATTTTATGTAACATTATGAATATATGTTTTTGCCAAAACTATTTTTGCTTTAGAATTACGCAAAATCAATTCAAAAGGTGTGTGTTTACCTATATGGGGTCAGTGCATAAGCTTTAATGTGTCATTTTCTTTGAAAACTAGACCTAGAAGACAGTTTTGTCGGTGATGCTTTCACTCTACTTCGATTTATGAAGCATTTAATAAAAAAAAATACATAAGGTGAAAGGTAAGCTGTTCAGAGTATTTGTTAAAACAGACTTGTGTATTGCATAAAGTACTAGTACATGCAGCTATAGTTTGTAATGTTGTATTTGAGCAGGAGGAGAGGGGATATAAAATGATAATATTACTGTAGTATTACATTTGGCAGAAAGATGCAAGGATGCCAAAATAGGCATGGTTATATTATGGGTTAAACTTACATTTTTGTGTCGCCTGCAGAGCAGAGCGGCACTAAGGCGTTTACCTGGCGTCTGTCTTTCTGTCTGTCCGTCTGTCATACCCTATATCCCAAGAACTGTAAGAATTATGGATTTGATATTTTGCACATATAATGCTTGGCACTATGGCTTTTGTAAATTACCATGGTTACCCACATCGTGACCTATGACCTTGACCTTTGACCTTTTTTTCAAAATAGTTCACAGTGCGGATATAAATCACATTTTTGACATTTAAGAGGTAAATCTGTGCTATTTAGCATGTGCTCTGTTTGTCATAAAAGAATATGAAAAATACCAGCATTACAGTTCACTTGACCTTGATCTTTGACCTACTTTGCAAAAAAATATCTCGGGCTGTTTAATTTAACTAATGAATTTTGAATTTTGAAAGGCAGGTTTTAGATAATTAACATTTATACATGTTTATGAGGTCATGATAGTGTACTTTAAAAGAGTATGATATTCAGTTATCACCCAAACTTATATTTAAATACTATGAAAATACATAGGGATCGGTATTCCACAATGGACCGTGTGGACTGAGAATTGCAGTAAAGACAGACTGAAATGTTTTTTGGATGATTATTGGAAACACGTTAAGCTCATAAAAAATACTTTGAAACTGTATGATTTTCAGTTACCACACAAACATTTGTTTAAATACCATGAAAATACATCGGAATCGGTATTCAACAATGGATCGTGTAGACTGACAATTGCAGTAAAGACAGACTGAAATCTCTTTTGGAGCATTGTTGGAAACACGTATTAATGAAATGACAAATACTTATTTCTAATACATGTAATTTCAATTGAATTATTCATTTGAGGGTTATGGGACCATATTTTCTTTGATTGTCAGATTCTATCGCAGTCTTGTTTTATCCATGGATGTATTTTTCTTTGCAGGCAAATGCATGAACTATCAGTCTATCATATTTTTAATAAATAAAAAGCTGACCACTCTTAGATTTATTTACACCGTTAATGAAGCTACAAAGCAGGCGACACATGCGTTCCTTGGAACACTCTTGTTGTTTAATGAATTATAGTGGTGTAACTAGCAAAAAATAGACTGTATTCAAAATAGGCAAGGGGTCTGGGGGCTGCCTTATTTAAAGATGTATATCTAGAGGAGGTGAAGAGAGAAAAAACTTACCGCATTCAAGAGGAAGAAAATAGGAAATTAATATAGCTACTTGTAAATTTCTCTCATGTTGATTTGCCATAGGACATTTAAACTCAAAATACTGTCGTGGTAGTTGTTGAAAAATTTTCTCTTATCTGAAAGGAATAAAATATATATTAAGTTCTTATTTTTATCTCTCAATGCTTTTTCTTCCATATGTTGTGTTAGAAAATGATTTTTTGTGTCGCCTGCAGAGCAGAGCGGCACTAAGGGATCACTTTACCCGGCGTCTGTCTGTCTGTCCGTCTGTCACACCTTGTATCTCAAGAACTGTAAGAGATATGGACTTGATATTTTACACATATATTGCTAGGAAATATTGGCTTTTGTGAAATGCCATGGTTACCGACATCGCGACCCTTGACTGTGACATTTGACCTAGTTTAGAAAAAAATGAATAGTGCCAATATACAACATATTTTGACAATCAAGAGGTAAGTCTATGCTATTTAGCATGTGCACTGATTGTCATAAAACATCATGAAAAAGACCAATGTTCCAATCCACTTGACCTTGACATTTAACCTACTTTGCCAAAAATACCCTGGACAGTTTAATCTAACTGAGGTCATTTGAATGTTGAAAGGCGGGATGTTGATAATTAGCATTTATACATGTTTATGAGCTCATGATACTGTACTTTGAAACTGTATGATATTCAGTTACCAACAAACTGATATTTAGATACCATGAAAATACATCGGGATCGGTATCCCACAATGGATCGTGTAGACTGACAATTGGAGTAAAGACTTCGAAACATGTATTTAATGTAAAATGATTAAATTATTTATAATAAATTCAATTTAATTATTCATTTTACTGTTGGAAATCATATTTTCTTTGATTGTCAGATTCTATCGCAGTCTTATACTATGCTTGGATGTTTTGTTCTGCATGGACTATCATGCTAGCAGTAAATAAATAGCGAACTACAGTTAGATTTATTTACATCTTTAATGCATCTACAAAGTCTAGGGCGACACATGCGTTCCTCCGAACACTCTAGTTATCCAACAAGTTGTGTAATTTATAGTCATTGGCGAAGGGCCATGGAATAAAAAAGACAGACAAAGCAGCCAAAATTTTTCATGAACACATAAAAATAATGCTGCTTTTGTATAGATACTGTGAGATTAATGTGTTTACCTTTCTAGGTTTATATTTAAGGCGGGGTTATGTCCTTTTTTATCAATGAAATATATGAAAATAACGAACAGTATTCAAATCAAAAATCCATTAAACAATACAATTCAGGAGGAGAGCAAACACGGACCACAAAAACATCAGATGGTGGGATCAGGTGCCCTGAAGGAGTGAGCATCCCCTGCCGACCGGTCACACCCGCCACGTGCTCTCTGTCATGATTGGGATATAAAGGAAAAAAAATTCGTCGACAGTTCAGTGTGTAAATAATGGTCTAACAATTAGTATGAAAAACGTCAGTCAGCATTTGACTTAATAATAGATTGTATATGCCGAAAAGGTCATTGTATCGACCATAGAACTTACGAAATTGTGACTTTAAACGAGACTGCTGATATTCTTTTTTCACCAACTTGTTTGTCAATAACCTACCTCGTTTTAAAAATTGGTCATACGTAGAGCATGTTCTTGCACATCGAACCAACTGAGAGATATAAACACCATGTGCAGGTTATAAGGGTACATTGCTGCATAAGTAAGAAAATTTTTCGATTGAAATGTTAAGGGCATCACGTTTATCATAAAGCATTGTTGTTAGATTACCATTAACGTCTTTTTCTAGTAAAATATCCAAATATGAAACAGGTGTGTCAGACTCTGTGGTATCTTTTATTTGAAGCTCATCGGGAAATATCGTATCTACATTAGAATGGAAATAAACATTGTTAATTGACAATACGTCGTCGATATATTTAAATGTCGAGTTGAAGGCTACAGCAAGTGTTTTCTTCTTTTCATTTATAAGATTTTGAACAAATTCTGTTTCATATGAGTGCAAAAATCGGTCTGCCAATAACGGGGCGCAATTGGTACCCATGGCAATTTTAAAAAATTGTTGAAAGACATGGTGTCTCCAAAACCACATAGATATTGTCAATTAGAAACTCAAGCATCTTTTCAATATCAACTTCAGAGTACTTGTGTGTAGAGTGTACAATCAGAAAAGTATTTAACAAGATAAATTTGCAAATGACTAATAATAAGTTAAGTAAATTTACGAGTTCCATTTTTATTAAAAAAAAGCAGCTGTTAATGATGTCAAAAAGCCTGGACCTTAATTTATCGCGGGGAATGGTTCTATATGGAGTTGAAAAGTCGTTATTTTTGATGTTTTTGATTTTGGTAAATTTTGTGATTTCAAATTTTCCAGAAGTTTCTTGGAATTTTTAAGCATCCACGTCTGATTTACACCTCTTTTCAAATATATTGCTGCTCAGTACTCCTGAGGTTTCTCCTTTACTACTGTTAATACTTTGATGAGGAGTAATGAAAGAGGCTAGGTAAAACATTTACTGGAGCCCGCTCTGCATCTTTGTAGGGATTTTTATGAAGTTTCAGAATTCAATATAGACATGGTAATTCAAATTCATTTTGGTTGTTGGAAATTTTAAAAGTATTCAAAACAGACATATGACTTTGAAGAATTTCCTTCTTAGAAAGGGAGCTATGGGTATAAGTTGGATTACCATTTGTAGAATGAAATCCCAATTCCTCTAAAATACAATTTAGATAATGAGCCTTACAAAGACAATGTTATTACCTGCTTTGTCAGCAGGAACCAGTACATACTGATCGTGTAATCTATCTAATTTTTTTTTTCACTTCTGAATTATTGAACACAGAAGGCTAGTTGGTTTTCATTTTGCCCCTCATTTGCTTAATGCAAGATTTTAACATACGTATGATACATTTAGTCCATTCTTATACAATGTGTCAAGGTCTGCTTTTTCATGTCTGGCCCATCGCCTGGAGTAATCTTCGACAGGATCCATAATATTTTTGAAATTATGACTCCAGTTCCTAAATTTTGGCCTTTTTTAAAATTATTGATTTAAGGTCGTCATTATTAACTATATTTACGTCACCAGTAATAACGTTTCCAGCAGGACGACTATAGTTCTAGGTTGAAGAAGAACATAAACACGAAGGAGGATTATGTTTCAGATACTCGATATCTAGGCTCTGTAAAGTTTTCTTGTAATTTAAAAGTTTGGAAGCAATGGTCGATGTATATTTGTAGGAAATACAAGGGGTAGTCTTTATCTTGAAAGATGGTGGAATACAAGGCTGGACCCTTTTACGAAAAAAAAATATTACTCATATTAACCGCGTCAATTCCTTTATTGGCATATTGGAGTTTGAGCAAAAACGGGGCTTTTTTAGCTGCATTTTCTTCTGTAAAACGTGGCGATTTAAAAAGACTATAATTTGCAATATCCATTACCACAGATCTGAGCCTGTATTCTGGTATCAAGGAATCAAAAAATGGATTTTCCTTGACGTTTTCAAGTAGACTATTTTAAAGTTTTAAAGGGACAGAGTAAAGTTTGGTGCGAATGTGATGAAGACCTCACTTTTGATTTACATAAGGTAGTAATGAACCAAAAGAGACATCGTGTATTAAAGGTTTATTGTAAGACTGATGCCCATGACTACGCTTACGTCTCAATGTATGGTTAAAAAGTCCCATCACATTTACATTGTTACACTGTGGACTGGAAAGATTCTAAACACTATCGACATTGTCATTGCATCCATAAGAAAAGGTCGTACCTAGTTTTCTTATCCAATGTTCTTCTCCTTTTCTACGAAATGGTGTACGTAGTGATGGACTGTATGTATGATGGTAAATCTTTTCTAGAATTCTAACTTTCATTGACAAAAGAGAATGATCAGGTATATTAAAATGCTTGTATAAAAGCTTTTGGCCCCGATTATTAATTTAAAATCCATGCCCTGATATTCTTTTATTAAGTGAACCCTTGGTTTCACCAACATAAGTCAACAAAGATTACATTCTATTCCGTGGATAACGTTAGCAGATTTGAAGTTCAGATTTTCCCAAGTAACTCTGTCCAGTAAGATTACTAGTAAAAGAAGTGTTTGTTATCAAAATGTCACAAGTTTTACAGTTTTTCGCAGAACATTTTGAAATAGAAGAAATGAGATAGGAAAAGGAATCTTCAAATAGATCTCTAATAGAAACTTTACATTCTTTCAATTTTTTGTATGAACTATTGGTTTTATATCAAAACTAGGAATATGAAGACTGCACATATGACATATATTTAATAATCCTAGGATTATCCGAGGGGCACCGAATGAACTCTTTGAGTCCATGTCCCTAATAGACTCAAAAGAGTGACGCCTTTTTATACTGGGCGACGATATTCTTTTTTTCTTAACAAATGCAGAAAAAATTGTTTTGAAAAAAAAAATAAAATAACCCATTGAGGGGTAGGATTTTCAATTTAGAAATCACTGAAACAGTTTTGTCATAATCATAAGCATACAAGTTACTTACTAGAATTTCTCACATATTCCCTTAATTCATTTGCTATCCTTTTTGCAATAATTCAGGCTTGTTATAATTTTCTTCCCACTATCTACTCTGAAATCGTTTTCCTTGACTAATTTTAGAATTTGTGGAAAATGGAACATGTAATTGACAATATCGTCGCTTTAATTTGTTGACAAAGACTAGATCGGAATAAGAGATAGCTACCGGTTGTTTTATTTGTAAACGAATCCAGTCGAGTCAGACTGTAGTTTAATAGGGAGCATATTGTGCAATCTACATTCAGCTAAACTCGTATGATTCCGTCGCCTAGGTAGGAATCGGCCGAGGTGTGCCGAGTGGTGCATTCTATTTATATTACAAATGTCACCGAATTCACAAACTCGTACGTAAACGCTGATTTTAGGACGTATCATTTATATCTTGTTATAAACACATAAAAATACAGCAGGATTACAATAAAGGGTGGAGTTGTTTATAGTTGGAGTATTCCTCGGTTATGACGTTTTCCTGAAAATTTTGATTCTGTCAGAAGAGAAGTTCATATGTACATGTAGATATTATAATTATGATTGTTCTAGGACATCGGCATTCAAAATTTTAAGCCTAATGTGAAAAAAAACTTCTTTTGAGGATCTGTCTCCCGTGGTTTTTAAGGCTCAGAGATTAATAATCATAGGTGTTTACTCTTGTCGTGCGACTAGTGCAGGTAACGCGAAAACAGAACAAAAAGTAATTGTATTTGATAAATCGGATCTATGTGTATTTAGAAACTTTTGAGTTAATTGTTGATAATTAGCCACTAGATAAATGTATAGAAATATATCCTTACCGTGTATAACACCGCTGTTCAAAATGGGAACGCCTTTTTGTTAAAGAAATCTGATATCTTAACAAGGAAACTATAATTTAATAATAAAAGAATGTCTCACTTTAGAATCTTGATACCATATATTTTCACGTGATTTTATCCTGAGTTAAATTTAGAAATCTTAAAAAATATACGAACTCTGGAAAATATCTTGATCAACATTTTGATGACACAATTACGTGCGGACGGGTGGGTATTTATATAACAGGGGACGGTCTGTCCTAAACAAAATGTACAGTTTGCTATATTTACAAGGTAGTGTCACCATCAAGAACAATTTACCTTTACGTACAATCTATATAATATTTGATAAATTACCATTCAGGAAATTTTGACAGGCAGTGCTAATAGTATAGGAATTTCATGAATCATTTGTATTTGTTTTATTTTCTTTTGAAGAGTATTAAGGATAAAATTTTGAAACAGGACTTCCCATTCAAAATTTCTTACATGTATACTTGCAAGGCTAATGTGTTACTCATAAATTGTATTCATATGTTTTTAATGTTTAATATGTATTACGCATACACTGTATGTCATGCATCTTTAAGACATTCTTTAAGACAGACTCGTATTCTTAAGTGTTCATAGGTTACCTCTGCATAATATAATTGATATTGAATTTAAAAAAATGAAATTACATGTTTGTGTCAAATTTGTAATGGAAATTAAAGCCATGCGTATCAACAGTTTCTCCTTTCAATATGGTTATATCAACTATATGTAAAATATTTACTCAATTAAGTACCAAATTCATTACAACTCTACACTATGTCGAAGGCATTACATTCCGAATTTAATCTTTAAACAAATTATTCTTAATCACTGCAGTAAATCAACTGATTTTCTCATGCATGGTTCAATTCTCAAATGTGTGCTTATGCAGTGAACAATTAACTACCTTGTAGCCGAAACTTTGGGCGCTTTTGTGGCCCTGTCTTTGATTTGAAGAAATCTAGTCTATATAAAGCTCACATAACATGTATGTTTTTGAATTGGTATCCTTCATCATCAGATTTTCAGGATATTTTCAAACATTTCCATGTTAAAAATTTCAACCCATCTATAGTCTCATTCATCCCCAAGCGTCCATTGTTTTAATGAAGTTTGATTCTGTACAATATTACAATTTGATTTTTTTAAAAATCTTTCTTTCTTGATTTTTATATTTAAAAGTTTTCGTCTTGTAATGAAAATTCTTATGTGCACTATTGGTGAAATACACTTAGAGACATATGCTACATTTTTTTGTTTTGGTTAAAGATTACCTGCAGTGGATGAGCAAATTTAATTGATAAAAAGAATTGGGCGTAAAAAACCCGTTGTAAAAATCCGCATCAAAATCCATGCTCAAATAGCAGAGTTATCGGGCTTTGAAAACGTCTATTTTTACTTGCGAGAGAAATCCAATCAGACAAAAATAAAAACACTCGAGAACGAGGCTCTAAAGCCGTGACGTCAGAACATGTACCAGAATGGCGGCGAGTATGGACATTAGAGACGACAGTGATGATTTAAACGAGACATTGTCATGTTATTCCTCTAGTTTTGATGAGATGGAGAACAACACAGCTCATTTGGGGACAGAACCATATTTATTTGAGCCGGAGATCGACTCTGATGAAGAAGATTTGGAAAGAAACACCCCAGATGAAACCAACCAGTCGGACCGCTTGGGAACTAATGAGTGGTAGGGTTACGTCTTATTTTCGTTACAAATTAGTTCAATAAAGGAAAGTTTGCTATTGATCATGTTGAAGAACACACTTATTTAGTATTAACCTTCTATAAATATTGAAAAAGCGAGAATTAGGCCTTCCCAATATCATATTTTAAAAGCTTACGAACGGTTGCATAGAAATTTTGTTGACAAGACTCGCTCGCACGTTTTGTGAAATACATACTGTAGTTTATTGTACATCTTTTTAACTAAGCAAATTAAGCTCTAGAATGTGAATATTCCTCATTTAGAGAAGCCAACATAATATGTGGCATATATAAAGGGATTAGATAGAACGTTCTATTGTTAAAATGATATTGTCCTACAGACCCGTTGTAGTGAGGGCTTGTCACGAGACACAGTTAGATTATTCTAACTAATATGAGATACAACATGTTTTTTACTTATTCTTTTACAACCAATCCTAAACACCCAAATTCATTAAAATTTTCATTTTTGACTAGGGGTTGAAATTCTCCTAGAAAACCCACTAGCCTAGTGGCTACTGATCAGTACATAATTACTAGCCAAGACCTCAAACTAACTAGCCCAACAAATTTTTATGCAAAATGAAAACATAACAAATTAAAGTTTCAAATGCTTTGATGACAGAAACAAATTAAATTGGTTCTTAGTTAAAAAAAAAAATCAGTCTACATAGAAAAGCGCAAGTAAACTGACAAGATTTTTTTCTGCTCTGCTAGTCTGACAGACTATCTATCAATACATTTACCAGGTAAATTAGATAGCACGAGTCTTAAAATGACTAGCCCCGGGCATTGGGGTACTGTATATTTCAACTCCTGTTAACAAGTGTTAGAAGGGTTAACACTCTTCAAAAGGTTTCCAGACTTCAATAGAATTTCTTTTAATTTTTCAAATTTAATTTCAGGTGCTCTTGTGGCCACTGTCCTGAAATGGCAACTGTAACTGAATCTATTTGTTGCCATGAAATTCCGGAAGTTATGACTGTATTACATGAAGATGCCGGAAAAACCTGCATTACCCTACACCAAGGATTTGAACCAGTCTGTCTGAATCAATATGTGTTGCGTACTGCATATTTCGAGTACAGGCAGCAATATCAAGACCTTCCAGAGAGTAATGAGTAAGTGCAATGTAAACAAAGATCAAGTTTTAGTGGACAATTGTTTTAATGAGTATAATGGATCTATATCTCTAAACAAATGACTAGATTTACAACAGACAAGCAGTACCATAACAAAGTATTGCACTACATACAGTTTTCCAAATATGGACCTGTACTAAACATAAGGAATTATATATAAAAAAATATATAAATGTCTTTTACATTTCTAAAGATAGAAACAATAGAAAATAATCATAAAAAGAAATGATGCATCAATATAGTAATAATACAGTTCTTAATATCTTAAATCATGATGTGTATCGTTTACTGGATTTATGAGATTGACTTTTTCTAATTTCACCTCTTCTATCTCCCCCCCCCCCCCCCAAAAAAAAAAGTAAAAACAAATGGTAAATACAAAAGTCACATTATCCGGACTTCCAGGATTTATGATATCGATCACTGTTTGTTATCATCACCCTTCTCACAAGGTTAACTTTCCCAAAAAGAAGCACATAAAAAATTCCCATCTGATTGTCTTATAATACCACAGTCATATTTCATAAATAGCAACAACAAAAAGAAAGTCTACATCAAAAATACTCAACAACATTAACAACGCATACAAAAAAAATTAAAACAAAAATACATAACTAAAAGTATAACTTCATTTAAACAATGTGATGTATTTTTATTTTACAAAACAACAATAACCAAAACCAAAATTTCAAAATAATATAATATATCTTAACTATCCAGAGCACCATCTAAACAACTAATAAACAATAAGGCAATGTTCGTTTAAACAAAATACTTCATTAAAAGTAATAACTAATAACAAGTGAAAAGTCTCATCTAAAATTAAATATTTAACACATACAAAAGAAATATGGATTTAAATTACTCTTTGAAATTTCATATCACAGTGAAAAAAAATATTGACATGGGACACCAACAAAAACAATAAACAAACAAATCTCAAACAGCAAAAATATTAACTTAAATGCCAAATCCAGATATGAGAAATCAACAACACGAAAAGAATCTGAATAATAAAAGAATGCTCAATATCAAAATTTCACTAACATACAGGTATACGTCAACAATTAACTCTACATGAAACAGATGTATAAAATTCATTGCATAAAAAACATGAAAATTATCTTTATCAAATAACAGATGACAAAAAAAACTTGTAAAAACTTAAAATATACTCGTACAAAAATATCTATATCAAATAACAGATAACAAAAAAAACTTGTAAAAACTTAAAATATACTCAAACAAAAATATCTTTATCAAATAACAAATAACAAAAAAACTTGTAAAAACTTAAAATATACTCATACAAAAATATCTTTATCAAATAAGAGATAACAAAAAAACTTGTAAAAACTTAAAATATACTCATACAAAAACCCTCTCTTTACAGTCGAATGCGGTATATTGGCTACAGACAGCTGGTGCGGTGGTGCTGGGGATGGTTAGGGAGAAATGTTCGTGTCCCACTGCCTGCTTGTGCTGTTACCAAAGTCCGAGAAACATACCCTGAAGAAACAGGCACATACCATGGGTTCGATGCACCTCAATTGCGCTGATACCTTGTCAAGAGCTGATTTACTGCATCTTCTTTATCAGGATGGTAGAAACCCTCGCACAATGGTGGAAGATCAGCTGCGGGCTCACATCGAGGCATGGTCATGTTTGCTGCACGAGTGGTGGCCAACTTCCTCAGGACATTGACATAGTCTAAAACAAAGCTGTGCTAAATGAATATTGATTTGATTCAAGTAACTGTTTAATATCTCAAGTATTTTAATGCATTGATGAAAATTTCAAAGGTATCAGAAAGTCTCATAATAAAATAGCTACCATATGTAATTCTGGTCTTTACTTTCTTTACTGTGTATTCCCCATTCTTTGCTTTCGGGTATTCAATCTTGTACCGCAAATCCCCATTTCTGGTTGTTGCCTGCTCCCTACTTGCGTTTTCGTTGTAATGGAGGGCAGCCAAGATCAAACTGAAATAAATAAATGAACTGATTACTCATGTCAAGGGTAGCAATTTTCAAAATATGAAATAATACATTTTTATATGTGCAAAAATTATTGAAGAAAATTAAACATACCGACTTTGCATGCCTTGAAATGAGAATTTATTCATCTTTGGTGCAAAGTGGTTGATGACGGAATGGTACGCCTCCAAATTTGCTGTCTGCATAGATGGAGAAAGCATAGGAATATCTTTCCTCATTTGGCGACTATGAAAGATGGCTTCAAGCTTTGTCATCACTTTTTAACCTGCAATAAGCAATGAAAAAATTTCTTTTTGTTATATTTGCATAGAATCAATGCATATGAATTCTTTCAATACATATTTTCAGCCATTTAAATGTATTTTACTGGAAAGAGTTTTGAGTAATGTTGCATACTTTTGAAATGGGATACTAAAATGAATGCAAGATAAAGGAGCCCACCTGGTGCTAGCCACCTTTTCCTCCTTGCATCTTGGTCAAGATCTGGATGCTCGCAGCGAGAAAAGTGATCCCCATGGCCAACGTGAACATTTTGCACATGGTTAGATATGCTGGTCCATTTCTACCACTTAACTTCATCTTGTGCGTCTTCGGGTGTTGATGAAGGGACCCAGTATAGGTGGTTCGTCAAACTCTTAATCCATTGTGCCAGATCTTCACAATCCCTTTCCTTACTGAGGGCTAGCAGTTTCTTCTTTAAACCTGTAAAATTGACTGATTTTTAAAAAAATTTCAAAAAGAAAAGTTATATTGCAAAAATGAAGAGATGGACTTCAGATTTTTTTTTTTTAAATCCAGCTTTTAATCCCATCCTACCTTTAGCAACATGCCAAACATCTATGTTGTGTCGGGTGTTTGGCATGTTCTCCCTGACCCACTTTGCCACCTGGAGGTGTCGATCGCTGACAAAATGGCTGATCTCAATTCCATTCTCTTGAAGAAACTCAATTCCTCTCACTAAGCCCTCTTTTTCCATCTGGGTACTTCCCCTTACTTCATTACTCTAATAAATAGAAATATGCATTTTGATAATACAATAGATTTAATTATGATGAAAAAATAAATGCTGTTTTAACACTTTCACATATACCAGCCTAGAATTAGAATTTAATCAACATGTATCGGGTAAATCGAAAACAATACTTTGAAAATGAAATGTCAATGTCTGTATTTACTTTAAACAAAGACTTGTGTAATCATTTAATAATGAAGAATCAAACCTGAACAAGTTGAAGATCTACAATCTGGTTCCTCTCCAAGTCCATCAGGGTGTAGCTCCCGAACTTAGCGCTATGGCCGGGGGAATCTGCCCTGCCATCCCCACCAATATGGACTGCTTGTCCACATTCCAACACCAAATGTTTATACTCATCTTGTTGCTCACTCCATACTTGAAGAATTGCTGGATGCAAATAGCTTTGCTGATGACTCATAAATGATCTGTATGATATGGAAGCCATATTGAGGAACTGAAACAGTCTCAAAGTCTTTGAAGGTAGGGAACCAGAAAATAACAGGGCACAAGACATTTCCAAGTTTCCAGCTGGAATAGCTCCAACAAGTGGCTGGCTAGACCAAGACCTCTGCATCCCACAAAGTCCACATTCCTGATAAATAACAATGAAGGATCCTTTAACTTGCTTCAATTCACCATTTGTAGGCCCTGCACATGATGGACAGCTGTTGAACAGGGTCATCAGGTGACTTTCATACACAAGAAACTTCTTGTCATGGTTGTTTCTGAAATGGTTAAAAAACAGTAAGTGCCTATCTATCAAAAGTAAAACATTACTTTCTTATAAGTGACTTATTTAAATAGAAAACCTACCCCCCCCCCTTTAAAAACCAAAACCAAAAAAAAGACATATAATGGAAACAATTTCTTTGGAAAAAAAATATTTTTAAAAGAATTAGACTAAAGCTTTATAGAACCCGACAATTTATATGAAAAATATTTGTTATGTTCTTAACAGTATAGAAATTAATAAGCTGTTTTTACCCTGGTTCAGACTCCATTGACTCATTCTGCAATTAATTTTTCAAGGCAAAACTGTAAGTTGTGACAAAAAGACAAAAACATATACCCCGTGAAGAGTAACTTTTATATATTTACATCCACTGAATATTATCTCCTTTATTAGTCCCCTACCGGTGAAACCGGAGGGGACTATAGGTTTCCTCTGAGTCTGTCCGTCCGTCTGTCCCTCTGTCTGTCTGTCAGTCTGTCCCACTTGGTTTTCCGCAGTTTTTTTCCTAAACGCTTGCAGATATTGCGCTGATTTTTGGTATGTGAGTGTATCTTGATGAGTTACAGATCAAGTTTGCATTTCGTTTCGCTTCATTGATTTTGGACGGAATTATGGCCTTTTCAATTTTTAAGGGTTTTCCGCAATTTTCTTCTAAATGCTTTCAGATATTGAGCTGATTTTTGGTATGTGACTTTACCTTGATTAGTTATAGATCAAGTTTGCATTTCGCTCCGCTTCATTGATTTTTGACGGAATTATGACATTTTCAATTCTTAACGGGAACCAGATTTCACTTGCCGGTAGGGGACTAGTATTGCTAATGCAATACTCTCAGAATGCTTGTTTCTTGATAAAACCATTGTCGTTTATCAGTCAGTAAACACCGCTAAGCATATCACCTCTACAGATGTCCTGAGCATTGACTGTTCCATCAATGAAACGTACAATGACGTACATATCAATAATACAATATTTTATCTACTAAATCCTACTTTAAATTAATTATTTATACAGATATAGATATAATAAAATGTCTTTCTTTGTTCGTTAGTACGGAAAATAACTTTGAAGCTATTGCAGAAAAAAATTATATAACCCGCTTACGCGGGTTATGCATTTTTTGTGCAAGAGCTGCAACATTTATTCCCATACCAACAACCAAAAAAGCATTGCTTTATTCTTAAAATACAATACGTTTTTGACTTAAGGAGGGATTCTTCTCATAAGAACACTTATTTCTTATATTTAAAAATCAATGAAATTTTCACAGACTCAAGAAGACAGTATCACTAAGTGATGGTCTCAGTTAGATTAAATATGACCGTTTTATATTAGAGGCAAGGTCATGTCAAGGTCAGTACCTTTTCCCTGGACATTAAGAATAAAAAATTACTGTTGCCAATAATGCGATGCCTGCCTCTATTTCAATAAATCAAATGTTTTTCTTTTTGCATAAAGAGATATTACCTTATAGGGTCTATAAGATGATATTACCAAATTGACATAAATAATTTAACTAAAATGGATATTGACTAATTTTCTCTATTTTTCTTAAAATTTTAAGATATTTTAGTTATTTTTATATGCTTCCTATATTTAAATTTTTCTTATTTTCACATATAGTAAAATTGTCACATAAAGATACAAAATGATATAAAAACAAAAGGTTTTGACCGTTTACTAAGAGAGAAAAAGCACTTTTTACGGATTTTTGGCTCAAATCTGAACTTAGATTGGAGCTTTTAAAAACTAACATAATTGATGTTTGTTTGGAAAATCATATTTATTTGATATATTTTAAAACTTTAGTCCCTTATTATTAATTTAACTTACATTTAAAAATTTTCTCCAAGTCTTTGATTGTGTAAAAATTATAACTAAATTCATTGTTTATAATTTTTTTGAGAGGCAGAAAAGAAGATATTTTCATACACCGCCATTCCGCCAAAAATATAGTCCCTGCTAGATTTCAAACTCAGTTTACCATTTCTATTTAAATTGTACAATTGTGATGAGGAACGAAAAATATGATCTTTTAAATATCTTACATCTAAATATATAAAACATATAAGCAAAAATACTTTGAACATTTCATCTAGTCAGAAACCAGACAAGAATCCCTCCTTAAGTAAGGTCATCAAAATGACTCAGCTAGGACAGTATTGTCATGTGCCGTAACATAAAAACACCCGAGGGAGGTAATTAGTTAAGTCAAATTTATGCTCACAAAACTTCTTTGAAAATTGCTATAGTGCTTCAGTATATTTACATATATTAATAAATTTATTTATTGATAAAAAATGATCAATGAAACAATTAGTTATATTTCATTTATCCCATGTTTACCCCTTTATCCCGTGGATATGACTCATTGGATAATTTTTTCATAATCCACAGTTGTGACGTCACAATGGTTTTTGCGTTAGCGCGATGAAGTAAAATAAAGTGGAGTCCTGTATAAAACAGTGTAAAACATTGGTTGTGAAGTATTAAACATGGGATAAAAAGAATCTCCTATGATTTGTAGTTGGATATGACTTTTATCCAACTCGTTGTGTGTTTTTATCCCCTCGGCAAGGCTCGGGGATTAAAAACACACAACTCGTTGGATAAAAATCATATCCAACTACAAATCATGGGAGATCCTATATATATATTGAATAAATTAATGTTGACTTCCTTCCCAATTATAGGTTATAGAATTCGTATTCAATTATACAGGTCTGAATGATTTACAAATATGGGAGTCAAGAACGATAACCGTGAATTACTATAAATACACAGAATAAACAAGACGCTAATCCTTCTGACCAA